GATCTTCACGGGTCCATTTATGGTGTCCCCGCCGTGATATTGCTGGAATATTGCTAAAAGTGGCGTAAAACTAAACTCACTCACTAAACTACTACTAAAGGAACTCAAAGGGACAACTAATTTTAGTTCATTGTAATGATAGTTAGTAGTTTTTTAAAGCAAAATCATTGTAATGAATTAGTGGTTTGGAATTCACGAAAGCCCATCTATTTCTATTTTATCATTGCTGCATTACAACATGATGCCAGAGGTCTCTAGCATTAACTACACTGTGCAACCCATGACCATAGAGATGGAAAACAATAATCACAATCCAAGCAAACAGGATTCTGGCACTATGAAGGGGCATAACTCTCTTCACTGAACTGCTCCACTCCAGGCTTTTAGGACCATATCTAGTATTTTGAGTAGCTCAGTCAAATCTGGCTACTGGGTTGCATGGATTATGTACTACTTGACATCATTGCAAGAAAAATCAATCCAAGCAAACAGGGTTCTGGCACTATGAAGGGGCATAACTCTTCACTGAACTGCTCCACTCCAGGCTTTTAGGACCATATCTAGTATTTAATCTAGTCAAATCTGGCTACTGGGTTGCATGGATTATGTACTACTTGACATCATTGCAAGAAAAATCATTAATATATCCTCTGCTACAATTTGGCAAGCCATCGTTCACAAACACCTTTACATTAAGCTGCCTACTAAGTTGTTGTCAGACAGCAATTATAAGTGTCAACATGAAATTTCAGTATCGTTATCGACTCCTTCGTATCATCATGTATCAATTTGTCAATATATTGATTAATAGTACAATTATTTACTCTGTATGTTCAGATACAAAAACCCATACAGACGTGCAATTTTATAAATTAAATGGTAAATATGATCAAGGCTGATCAATTAAATGTTTAAAATGGCATTTTCAGGGTTTTCATTTTCCATCTTAACCAAGGTAATCAAACAATACAAATGTTTCTGCGGAAATGAATTATTCATGTAGAATTTATATTCATAAGTTTGTATAGATAGAGCACTGATGTTCAGAAGTATCAATACATTGATATCACTACAGATGATGGCATTCCTAATAGCATTTGTTTGCCATATGTGCCACAGGCCACTCAACAACATTTGAGTGAGTGAGTGAGTTGGTGAGAGTGAGGTGTGTGGTGTGGTGTGGTGTGGTGTGTGGTGTGGTGTGGAGTGGTGTGAAGTGGAGTGGTGTGAAGTGGAGTTTTATGCCACTTAACCATATTCAAACAACATCATGGCGGGAAACAGAAAAAATGGGTGTCACACACTGCACCTATGCAGGGAATCAAACCTGGGTCTTGGTGTGACGAGCAAACACTTTATCCACTAAGCTACCAAACTACTCCTCACCAACATTTGAAATCGTGAATTTCAGTGAGCCACAAGGAAATACTTATGATCCATCTTGAAATACAGTGAAAGTCTTTAATCCTGAGCCAGATAACCAGCAGTTATAGCAGTGTTTGCCCCTTCAGATTGGGCTTAATTACACCTGATTCCAGTTTCAGTACCTTGTGTGCATTCAGCTTTCATGGATTTATCATGTTTGTCTACTTTACTGGTACCTTGATAATACACATTATATGATGGAATTTTGTTGAAAGAAAAGAGAGAGAGATTTTACCTCATTCATACTGAGCCATTACAGAGATAATGGCCCTTCATTTGAAGAAACTTTAAACCATCTTGACTCTGACTGAGTTTGCTTTGCAATATTCCAGCAACATCACGGGCGGGGGACACCAGAAATGGGCTTCACAACCCATGTGGGGATTCAACCCGGTCTTCGGCCAAACCATTAGAAGAAACTTTAAACCATCTTGTTTCTGTGCATCAGTTGAGAAATGGCCACCAAGAAGATTTATTGTTTGTTTGTTGTTTAACGCCACACTCAGCAATATTCCAGCTATATGGCGGTGGTCTGTAAATAATCGACTCTGGACCGGACAATCCAGTGATCAACAGCATGAGCATCAATCTACACAAGTGGGGTATGATGACATGTGTCAACCAAGTGAGCGAGCCCGACCACCCAATCCTGTTAATTGCCTCTTATGACAAACATGGGTTACTGAAGATCAATTCTAAACCTGGTAACAAGCTAAACAATAAGAGCATTGCTCACCTAAAACCCTGACTGTAACTCCCAACTTCAGCTGTACAACAATAAATAATTCTCATTCCTGACAAACATACCAGATCTGTATCAAACTGTGCACTTCATCTTTCCCAGAAACAAAGTTGCCATTATGAAAAATATGAAAACAATCCATTAATTGCTGAAGACCAATTCTAACCCAGATCTTCACGGATCGCTATAGATGTGAAGGGCCATCCCCTAATTTGAAAACACAATCCAGACAATAGTTTACAAATTATTGATTGAACAAAATTCAAGTTTTTAAATTGCTGCGATTCTTTGAAATAAATAATTATCACAATCATAATTTGCACTATATCTCTGCTACAGACAAACAAGGTGGTCCTCAATTTGAAAAAAATAAATAAAATAAAACAAAACAACAGTTTTCAAATTATTAGTTGAACAAACTTTTTATAAGTTCAAACTTTTAAATTGCTGTAATTCTTGAAACAATATATTAAAATAACATAATCAGTTTCAACTGCACCTCTCCAGTCAACAAAAGAAGGTGGTCGCCAAATTTGAAAACAATCCAATCAATAGTTTTAAAGTTATTTGCTGAACAGACAGAATTCCTTGGTCTAAAAAATGTCTAATTAACTTTGAGTATCGAATAACAACATGTAAGACAGTTGTAATTCTAGATGTAACATACTAAAATGAAATATTGCCACATATCTTATTTCAGTCGATTCTACAGTTTACCAGGCATATTCCATTTCATAGTGACCATAAGTAGTGTTTCTTGACCAGTCATTTGTCGTGCCCTGTCAGTCACCTTCCTTTCCTTGCATTAATTATGTAAGGTCAAAGTTATTGAAACCACCATCAAGTGGTCTTATCTGCATGTCAAAAATAACTTACAATACAGCTGCTTGATCTGGCACTGCTTGCACGGTGCAGTTTCGAAACTAAACGACTAACTCCATTGTATACCACAAGTACAGGGCACAAGACAACAGGTCCCTCTGTTTCTCATGACTCTGCCAGTCTGTCTTGCATATTTCTACACCTACATGAAAATATGATTAACTGACTCTGAAATATAACATTTTGTACAGGTAAACGTGAAGAACTGAAAGTTACACTTAAAAAAAAGATGATCTTGTATGGTTCATTTATATATCCTTTCAAAATCTTCACTTGTGAAATTAAAACTTATTTGAACTTTACACAAAACACCATTTGAAAAATGTGTGTGTTACACAGCTTTAACAAGTTTAAAGAAAAGGATATTGATATCCTCTCAAGAAGCAATAAAATTCCAGCAGAATATAAATAGTGTGAAAGAAAATAAACCAGAATTCTTGAAAAATCTATTTACCTGAATAAAACATGTTATACTTGGTAGACAGCACATTATAGGAAGATACTGGGAACACTTTCATCTGAATATTACAGGCATAACAGCATGTGCTTACCAAGGCACACAAGACAATAATATGGAAATAAAAACATTTTCACAATATTTCTACTTGAAAGAAGAAATGTTTATATGGAATATACGGTAATATATTGAGTCAGGGTGACAGTCATATGGTTGCTCATACTGTTTCAGTTGTTTATTTAGCATAACAATGTATGCTGAGAGTCACCTTCAGAATAAAATCTGACTATGAGAATCAGCTTCTTTAGTGCAAAACTTCAATTTAGATCTAGGCAATTTATGGTATTGAATCTGTTTGGTTAAAAAAAAAAAAATCTTAAATAATTGATGACCATGTGTTTGCAGAAGTCTAGAATTTACAATCCTCTCTGCGCAATTAGCTCAGTTTAATGAAGTGTAACCAACAAACAGAACAGATATTGTTCCCTTGATTACGTCATGCAAATTCCCAGGGTCACCTGAGGTGTGTGTAGACTCAATAAAGCCTATAGTAAATACACTGCTCACATCTGTCACAGGAGCCACTGTCTGGCCCAACTATGGTGATTATTGTCCATTGGTTAAATAACAGAAATACAAATTTTAACAAAGTGTTAATAGGTTGCAATGTGTTAGGTGATATTGGTGTATATTTATATATTGTATATTGGGGTTATATCATGGCCATTCCCCAAATTGAATATGACAACATTCAAATAAAAACCAATCTTTCAATTATAAAATATGGATATGAAGAAAATTACACACTGACAACAGTTAACTGACTTTAAATCAAAGTATACTACCATGAGAATGGAAATTTTATTATTGCTCATATATATTTCCTACTTGTTCTCAGTATATATTTCCTACATGTTCTCTTGGAATATTATCTCAAAGACGTGTTTAATGAAATGTGTGTAAGATGCCTAAAAGATGTTATGCTTAAGAAAGAAAAGTTGTCTGTTTTTTTAGTCACCGTCAATTATCGCTATCAAGTGACACTGTCAACACTGTGGCACATTTGGGGCTATGGACACAGAAAATTCCCATTCATTCCAATCGATCTGGTTTAAGTTGGAAAACGAATAAATCTCCTCACTGTTAATTATTAATTAATGTCCCATTCTCTGTCCATCAATGGCAACAATAGATCACGGTTGATGGAGTATGAAACAAACTAAACTAACAATGCAACCACCATTTTGAAACAAGTCAAGATGACAGTTCCACCGGTGGAAAGTACCGCTTTATCTTCATACCAAACCAGAAACTCACTTTCATAAGTGAAAATTATGCCATTTGTATAAATAATGAAAGGGATGCGGCAAGATATTGCAGATTTCCAATCGTAAGCGTTCGCCGGTCAACATACCTTGAGCTTTCTAAACGTCAAACAAAGAACACAAACAGCCCGCGTCTGGCAGCATGTTTCCGGGACACTTTCACGCATGCGCAGGTTATATGCGATTGAGAGTAAGGACGTACTGTACCCATACAGATAGTTGGAAACTTTATATTGTCGGTAAGTCGCGATCTGTTTGATTACTTCAGATTTCCTTGTGCATGTAGTGATTTTATGCCTTTGCGAGGCATCTGTGTGTGTATGGCTACAATGTGAACTAGCGATCGCCAGCAAGACAAAGAAAGCGTGAAGGGTGTATGGAGAAGCTCTCTTGAATTGTGCATGGAGTGTTCACCGTGAACTGTCTCGGCGAGAAGCCTCATACTTCTCGAGCAGCGTGTGTAGAGAGTTGTGGTCAGTCGGAGCATTATCAACAAGTAAACCGGCCTCCACCGACCGCTTCTAATCATTCACACATCTCCGTCAGTTTATTTGAGGATCTGGCTTTCTAAAACAGGATCAATTTGAAGTTATTTCAACTTTTGGTGGGTAAGTTTTTTTTAATGTTCGGTTAAGGAATGTTTTGGGGTGTGTCACTTGAAATGTCCTATATGAATCATGTCGGATTTGTTGGTTCCGAAGAAAGGTTCAGATTGTACAAATCAGAGTTAGTGAGTAAATACAAGCTGTGACTCAACATGCCTTGTTTCAACTTTGCCAATACATGTGTGGTTCGCAGTGACCCAGATAGCTGTAGAGATTAGGTACAGCTCGGGGCCTCATATGACTTGGAACAGACCTGGTTACAGTTTACAGATAATCCATCTCAAGGCTATTGTAAAACCATGTGCTGTAGTTGTTGCTGATACGATTCAACCAGCCTCAGTTTGTGAACATGCAAGACTAACTAGGCACAAACTATAAATTCGATAGATGCAGACTTCTATACAGCTACTGTCAATGACGCAGCAAGCCAATGTCACATTCTGAGGACAAGAAGGGATGGGTCAAGTACACCTGAATGGAATACCTGCTCACACATGGTTGCTAATGTGCGCTACCTGTGACGATCAGGCAGAAACTGTGGTGGGAGAGTCAGTTTCTGGTTACATTTGTGGTTGGTATACTGAACTGTATCAAGTGATCATTCAGCCACTCGGCCAGAAGAGGAACAGTGGGAAATAGGGTTGAACAGACGATATACGGTTTAGGTCGTCTAAACTTTAACAATGAATGTGTTGCGTCATATCAGGTTTCAGTGCTGCTGTCATTGTGTATGTAATGGCTTAAGGAAATGTGGAATGTGAAATAATAGGGCATGTGCTTTATTTGATGACACATCAGCTGACATGCATAGCCATGGTTGAAGCTGTTTATAGATTACACTCATAGCTGGGTGTGTTTGATGGGGCATCTGCTGTATATGGTTATATTGTATGTTCAGTTATCACACATCTGGGGAATATATTATCGTAAATAATCTAGGAAGGGAATATTGGTCTATGATGGGAATATTGTGTGCTGAGCTGATATAGGAATATTGTTTGTTGAGCTGAGATAGGAATGTTGTTTGTTGAGCTAAGATAGAAATATTGCGTGTCAAACTATGATGGGATATTGTCTGTTATATATACACTGTTAAGGTAGGATGGGAATATTGTTTGTTGAGCTGAGATAGGAATGTTGTTTGTTGAGCTGAGATGGGAATATCGTTTGTTGAGCTGAGATAGGAATGTTGTTTGCTGAGTTAAGATAGAAATATTGTGTGTGAATCACTGTCAAACTATGATGGGATATTGTGTGTTAAGGTAGGATGGGAATATTGTTTGTTGAGCTGAGATAGGAATATTGTTTGTTGAGCTGAAATAGGAATATTGATTGTTGAACATGTTGTTGGTTGTTTAACATGTTTAATGCAGCACTCAACAATATTCCAGCAATGTGGCAGCAGTCTGTAATTAATAGACTCTGCAACAGACAATGCAGTGATTAACGGCATGAACATCGATCTACGCAACTGGGATACAATATTACAATGACATGTGTCAAGCAAGTCAGCGAGTCTGACCACCCGATCCCGTTAGTTGCCTCTTACAACAAGCATGGGTCACTGAAGACCAATTCTAACCCGGATCTTCACGGGTCAAGTTGTGATGGTTTGTTATGATATGATGTGAACATTGATTGTTAAATGGGAGCATTTGAATTATTGTGTGATACATTTTATATGAAAGCTGCGTTATATTTATAAATCATGCAACATGAATGTTTATTCTCAGAACATATTTATATTATTATATGATCCATTTGCTGTGATGGAAATATTGTACATGAATCCATAGACCATGTGTAAATTGTGTTCTGTGATGGGAATATTGTGTGTTTCGCAGGAGTTCAAGACATATTTAATCAAGGTACTTATGAGCGATTATAAGTTTCTGTATATGGCTGGTGACGTGACATAACAATGGTACTTGCTCGGTGCATCTTCTGAAATACTTCGTCGATTTATTGACATGGTTGGTGTATACACTGTCATACCAGATCAATGGTAATGTCGTACTGGAGTTCATCAATGATTGAGTCAATAGACATCGATTTTGTCCGCAGAGCAATTCACCATTACATACAATTAATCACAGATTAATGGTGGAGGCAAATACGTCGCCGCTATTGCAAGGTACACACAGCTCAATGTGTAATCAGTTGATACAGCGACCGAACCAACTTCCAAAATTAAACCAAAATATTTATATATTTGGTCTCTTAATTTATCTAATCTTGAAATTGATGAGTTTGCAGTTTACCGATGTTTAGAAAATGTCACCTCCATGCACAATCTGAGCGTTATTATAGCTACTTGATGGTGTTTATGACAAACTGGTTTTAATGAAAGAAGACATTTATACTCCGGGGAAGTTGAAAACCTATTGTACTGGTAGGAAAGCTTGTTATCTTTTGTAAACCGCAGAGTACTGGGATGAAAGACTGCTGCAACATCCCGTCTCTCTATAGAAAAGTCTTCAACAGGAGAAGATTCACCATTTTTTTTCATTGGCACCAGCATGGCTTTAGATTGATCATTTGCGTGAGAAATACATCAGAGATGTGTCTTGTGTTTTTTCTGTTTGTAAAATAATCAATATACATTAGTTGTTGGCACAAATTGGGACTTGGATAATATTTTCATTTTGTCATCGACCAGAAAAAGTAAGGTAAAATGGTCGTTAGTAATTAACTTATAATTCAGCAACGTATTCCCATAACAAAACATTAGCCAGTGCCATTTCCATATTAACAAAAGCGTAATAGCGGAATACAGTTTTGTCCATGGGTAAAATGTAATTACAATTTTATTGGCTGTTTAGGTTGTTGTGTGGTGGTACATAATTCTATCAGCTCTTTTTAAATGGAAATTTCTGTGTTGAAGCCAGGCATTGTATTTTGGTGATCCTGGAGATACGGCTTGATGGTCAGGTCATTATTGGACTTTCTGCTGCAGCGTTGGAGTTAGCACTGATGACAGAATTTTGTCAATAGTAACAGATCGCAGATCGTACAATCACACGGGAAGTTTAAGCTGGTGCTGTGTAGGAGTTTGTAATAGTCTTGAAATAAACGAGAAAGTTCTGTTGTCAGAACAGCGTGGTTGCTTTGTTATTGTGGAAGGCATGTGTAGCCCCAGTCGTCACTTGTGTTGTTTGAGAGCAGGGATTTCGATCTTCAACACCTAATCAGGAGGTGTTTCTGTGTGGAATCTGAGGTTACAGGAAATTTGAAGATCATCAGAAAAAGAGGGAAAATAAACTGATTTTCAATTTTACACAGCCTAAATCTGTCGATACCTCAATTTAGTTTCCTGTGAAGGAAGGTTAGCTGGTTAATTTCTTTTCTTGTCAATTTCAGAGGCTAAATTTTACTTAAAGAAAAAATAATAACAATTGTCGATTTCAGATTTTGTTGATATCGGTTGTCATCTTCATAATAAGAGAAACCTGCAGCTTGTTTGCCAAACATTACAGGGCTAGCCGCACAAAAAAAGCTTTTGTATTTTGCTGTCCTCACTTTCAGAAAATTGAAATTGATCAAATCTGTTACATGGAACAAAAACACTTTGTTGTAACAGTCTGTAGACTGTAACACATTGTATGTATTAGTCATGCTTCATGATCTATATTTCCTCTTAACAACAACAGAGATGATAAGAAAGTAACAATGTGTCAGTGTGTATGACAGTGTGATACTGTAGTGGGTCTGCTTGTATCAAGGATATCCACCACTAATCCAGGAAATACCAACTCGTACATTTCACAAGATGCTGTGATCATTAGCCTTCTGTAAGCCTGCACATGAAAGTCACTGGGCTTAGGAGATTATTGACACAACTTTCCCGATCTTTGTGTTGCTATGGATTCATACATGAGTTGCAATGATAAAAAGGACAACGATTTGTCTTTATGTGTCAGTTGCACTTGAAAGTTTGCATCATGCCATGAGTCAAATTATCAACCAGCCTTTGCGCATTTGTCATTAAGTTTTAACAATAGAATATCAACTTTTGATTTTATTCTTGAGTGAACTCATGTCGTTTGTTACAGGCTCTTATTCGTTTTTATCGTTATTGATGACAGTGCTGATGAAAATGGCAGTAGTGTTTTGTTGCACACCATTAGGTACTTGTCAGTGAAAATAAAACCAGCTGTCAATTTCCCATACACTTACCATGAACCTTGAAGATCAAGACTGTAAGATCCAAGCTGGATTAGACGACAACAGCATTATTAATAGCAACTACTGACAGTAGAACACGAGATTTGTTTGATTTAACAACCATCGAAAGGCTAGTCTTTGTCCAGTTTGCTCAAATTATTAATCCTACAGTTTTACTGTCTTTGATCTTGTGTCTTCTGGAATATAGGCTAAGTATCGTATCCAGATCGAAAATGTGCTACAGGGAAAACCAAGGTTATGTTTCTTGGATTACACCTGTCAATCAATTGATGTAGATATTGATTAATACTTGAATGTGATTGTGTAATATTAATATATTTCATACATGGTGAGCGAAAATAAATTTCAAACATGTTGGTCAAAATCAACATGACCAACGTGATGAAATCATAAATATAACTTTTGTCATGATAATTTTTTCTTGAAGTAAAATTCTGAAACATGTCCAA